GCCAACCTTCATCACATGCATTTCCGAAAAAAATTCTCCATGTTATTTTGAGAAGCGATGAAGAAGCTGTCTAGACTGATGGTACGTCTTCCGTACACATAAATCAGCAAATTTCAGACAATACCGTTTCTAACAGGTGCAGATTTGATGATTTTTAAATGCTTTACAACTATGGCCGGCACTACAGGAAGAAGTGACAGAAATATCACACTCACCAAACCCCGACTCACAAAAAATCATCTCATAGGTTTTTACAGCTATTATTAATGCGTCTGATGCAGCACGTGCTGAAGGCACTTTGGCCAATTTTCTGTCAACAATATAAAAAACACAAGTCTTTGTCGCTCATCTACGCCAACCAAATTCACCCAAATAAACATCTTCTGGGAAGCCAGAAGATGTTTATTTGGGTGAGTTTGTTTGGTTCTGCAAGCGGTTCAATGACACCAAATTCTCTCTATTTCCAAAAAGTTACTCTCCTAACATTGAAAAACGCTAATAGCTGTTTTAGCTATTATGTAGAATAAACCTTTGCCTACCTTACACTACTATGGATTACTTGGGTCAAGTTTTTGAAGTCTGTAATAACTATCATAGCGTGAAGGAGAACTGAACATTTCGAAGAGGCTTCAAAGCAAATCAAACATGATTATTCTATAAAAATTATATTTGATAACAGTCAGGCTTCACTTCGCAGAAACTTCGAGAGCTTCTATGCTTTGCAGCATTTGTGTGTTTCATGGCATCAACAAAGTCGAGATCTCCCAAAAAATAGATTTTCGGAGCTTCAGATCAGAAGAATCTAAAAACGCAATCGTATAGTCCAAAACTTATTCTGTTTGTTTTGTTTTTATTCTTTTTCAAAAATCTGAAATCAAATTTTTGACAATTAGCCGAGCTACGAGTAGGCAGATAGGAAAGGTGAAGAATTCTGGCACTAGTCTAGATGCGTTCGGAGGATTATGGTTCGAAATTGTAACCATTAGAGGAAAGCTGCATCGAATACATGTCCAAGAAAAGATTTTTATATTGTAGTTGTTATAGAAATGACAAGAATTTTGGGACAACCTGATAAAGTCCTTTGTTCTCGTAATGCGTTCAGTGCACTCCGCGCAAATTAGTTAACAAACTTGTTTCCTCTGCAAGTTCGGGTGGAAATGTCCTCATAAAACTCCCGGAACTGCAAAACTTTTGTAGAAATCTGGAAGGTATAGAGTTTTGTTGAATCGTAATTTTCGGCCACATTGCTTACGCAAGGCGCCACAACGTCCCAAACTAGTTAAACAAACGAGATGACCTCTGCATTTTTCTACCACTAAAACAGAGTCGCACCTTCGTAGAGATAGGACGTAAAAAGTAAAGGTTGTTTGAAAAATAAGGAAGAGAAAAAAATGCAAAACAAATAGTAAAAACAGAAGAAACTCTTGCAAATCTAAAACCAGTTCTGAATTTTCATTTGGCGATATTTCGAATTGTAGGTTCCCGCTTCATGACCAGGCAATCCACAGCACGGGGAAAACAAGGGAAAGCTAATTTTTTTGTGATTGTTGAGAAAAATTGAGAAAAATCATATTTTGAAAGTGGAAGAAGATAAAGAAGATTAGGAACAGTTATAAAATCGTAAAGTTTTGTATTCACCGATTCGAAATGCACATTAAAGACAATGTAGTTTTTAATGCGACCCTTAGATTGTACCCTCTCCCCCTTCTCATAGCTTTTGTTTCTGTCGACGTTGTCAGCTTTGTTGTGCTTATGGTGCTGGGCAAAATGCCCCCAAGCGGTCAGAAATGGTTGCTTACTACTCCAACAGAGGCCTATGAACAAAAACGCACTTTCGCAAGTTGCCACATAGTTCACCACAGTTGAGGCATGTTAGCTCTGCGACGGTGACCACATTATGAACACGAGCAAGATCGGGTGTATGTCAAGATGAACGATAGCTGGCAATAAGCATACTGTACTCCTGCGGTTGTCAATATGTCGCATATAAAGTCTTATTTTTTGAGGCTGTATGTTCCAAACTAGATTGAAAATGGTGTCGAACAGTAAGAACCAGGGCATACAGAGCTTTCAACGTTTTTTTCCAAGTTCGAGATATCATCATAGCGTAAATATGGAATTTGAAAAAGATCTGACCTACGCAGCGCATATGGCTGGCACAACCTATCGTTCATGTTGGCTGCCCCCCAGCAAGATCTATTGATTGCACGAAAAAACACTTAAAAGGAAACAAAATGGAGAAAAACAAGAGATTTTCAAAAAAACGATTTCTGCTAGTTCTCGTCCAAATCAAGAGAGGGGCTTTTGCGACTTTGTTAGCGTGGAAGTAGAGGTCAAGGGCTTAGTTTGACCTGTAGTTTGCTAAAATTAAGTTCAAAACAACGAAAAAAGGTACCAGAGCCAAACGCCTCGTGTCCCGCTTTTGAAGTAGCGAGGTAGCGCGCAGCGCGCGAGACGCAGACGAGCAAAGGAGAAAGACCAAAGCCGAGGGGCATTTGGCCCTGATCGTAGACCGCCGCCGGGCATCAACGAAACTGCAGCGTTATCTATTATCTTGGTTATCATGACACGACTGAGAGCACAACGTAGCTAGCCTTGATAATCATCTCTTAACGAAATCAACCAGCATCCTCGTGCCCGACCTTCTTCGCAAAAGTTGAGCAAATTTTTTGTTTTCATTGAACTCAAATAGGTTTAATGAGTTTTCAAAACTCAATCGTAGTCCAAAAAGAGGCCAGTCAAAAAATATTGTTCTATATTCTATAAAAAAACTACACATGATCTCCTCTACAAAGAAAGTTATAAAAACGCAATTCTTCGTAAAGTACATAACTCTATGTGTTCAAGGTATGGATAGACTTCAACAGGGCAAAGGAAGCTGGGGAAAATCTGGTCGCTAACCCTTCACGATCGGTCACATATACTTATACCAGATGGTTTTTAGTTGAGGTTTGCTTTGAAGTTCTGTACAATCTTAGTCGAAGTCACAACAGAATTTGCAGATGAAGTGGTTTCCTAGCTCGTTTCATTACCTACTCTGGCTGATGAGTTTTGCGTTACAGCCACTGACGTTCTGAAAAGACTTTCTCCTGCAAACACTCTAGGAACAGGTAATAAATAAAATAACTAATTGCCTTGCAGCAACAGATCAAGAATCTCTACTGCATCGCGAATTCATGCCAATGTGAGAATAGGAAAGAATGTGGCGTTAATTGGATCATCAGAAAAGGCAGTAAATAACACTTAAGTAATGGGTCTATATGCTGACTCAACTCCCGGTGTTTTTTCAGCGAGAAATCTTTGGTTTCTGCAGACCTTTGTGCATTCCACCAGTGCAAAATTTGGCCTTTAATTCAATTATGCAGTTCGATTCGTTGTTAGTAATGGACATCGTAGATCATCTTTTTTATTCAAGAGCCATTCGTTACAAATACAGCGTTCAAAGAGCATTGAGTGATACACCAAGAGAGTGTAAGATATGGCCCGTAGTAAACGTTGTGTTTAAAACCAGCCATAGGCAACATTTATGTTACATGGATCGGCCTCTTCGACATCGGCCACCATGGAAAAGCCGATGGTACCGCTATAAAAGATGTTGCCGAGCAAGCGGGGAGTTAAGCCAAAAAGAGCGAAGTTACATCAGTTTAACATAAGATTTCCATAAAATTGTAATCGTTCGAGAGTATAGGCGATTCATAGCACGCAAAGACTGCGGACTTAACGGTGTCTCTCTGATCAAGCACTCTTTCGTTTCTCTTACCGTCTGCTGTCTCTTCCATGCGCAAACTATCTTGGCCGGACGCAACGGCGCCCAGTCTTTGCGTGTCATGAATCGTGTATACACGGAAAAGAGAAATTTTCGTTGGGCTCCGAAAGTATGTAGTTTCACTTATCGTACGTAGTAGTATATTTTCTCATAGTGAATAATCTCAAATAAAGTCGAATTATTTCATATGATCATGTGTGTCACTGCACACACTGTCCATCTTTGGCGTTCTCATCGTAGATTTGCATCGCAAAATGCAGGAGGCTAAGCGATTGTTATTGGTTCCATTACCTTGAGGTTATTCGTACTTATAAAGGAAAGAACACCTAAAGAAAACAAGAAAAATCCTTACCTGCAGGGTCGCCTCCTCCTAGAATCCAGGATGGGGACGCCTAAGGGGCAGCGTGCCTTGTATTTCTTTTTGTTAACCTTTTCACTATGTCATTTTCCTTGTCTCGTAAGTTGATCATGAGACTTATGGAACTTTTCTCTAGTTATTCCTTTTGCACCCTATCTACGGCAGTTGGCTCTCATCATTAACTAGCGGCAGCTTAGCAAAGTAGGTCTACCTAGACTGACGATTGACCGGCGGTCAATTGCCAGTTTAGATGGGCTTTTTGAGCATAGAAGAAGGGCGGTTGTGATCAACCGGGGAATGTGAAATTAGTTCTTAGAGCTCGATTGTCAATTAATCTTGGCATCGTCCATATATCTTTGTATGGTATTTGAGCAGTGGCTAAGATTGGTATCGATCTTTATTTCTCGGCTAACGTTTCGGAGTACAACTCCTGATTCGTAGCCTGAAAGATCAAAAACTATGCGAAACTGTTCTTGTAAGCACTCAGTCACCTAACGTTGGACTCCGAAAGTATGTAGTCGTTCAGTTCAGCGGATTTGACGGGGGTTTACTACTAGCCCTATGCCGCTTCCGCAGTTGTTTGAACTTGCGAAAAATTCTTGGAGCACTAGAATTTTATTTTGATTTCGAGTTTCGTTGGATATCGCTGCCCAGTTCCTTCTCCTAAGTCAACAACAATCTCATGGCATTCTGAGTCATGCCGTATCACGCTGCCGTTGGCACACATCGAGGCAATGAAGACGCTGATCCGCGTGTACAGGTTGTTCCGGACAACGTGTGACTCATATCCGCATCCGGTTTTCCGTCACTTCCGGACGCGGTTATAAGACTGACGGACGTCAGCAAGCAATGGCTGGCTGAACGCAGCTGGCAATCATGCTGCTCCTTTTACTATTAGTTTTACACGCCTGCGCTGATGAAGATATCTGTAAGTTTATAGGGGCCACTATAATTTTTTGAGTGCGATTGCACATTTTAGTCACCATTCCGATGATCTCAGATGTTGTCGATGCTAAGAATCAAACTTTTTTTGAAATGGAGGAGGATCATGAGCGATTGTGCGGTGTTGAAGGACGACTATTAAAAGGTACATCATTTTTTAAAATCTCAACAAAACATGTAATAAATATGTCTTTAGAGCAGGGTGATCGTCTCGTCCAATGCTCATCAGATGAAGAATGTTTGCCTCCATCACAATGCCATACAACGGGATATTGTTGTATGATTGCACTCAATCAAGAACCACCACCAGTCGGTTGCCCATTAGGTTGGGTAATCTTTTCCATTCATAGCTAGACTAACGAGTAAAAATTTTAGTTCTGCGATTATAAGCTTAGTACAAATTTGTTTGTTGTCTTAATCATCGGCTCAATCTTCAGTTTGATTTTGAAAAATCGTTTTTTCGTTTACACTATCGTAAACAAAACTTTCCTGACACTTTTCAAACATGCTTTTCCTTCATTCATTTACTCTTCTCATCCTCCCATCAAATCATTGATTCATTCAAGTCATTCATCTACTCATTCATTCACTTATTGAAGCAACCAGCCATACATTGTTCATTTATTTCCATACAATCATTCACTTGCTTTCATTTATTCATCTACTTATTGTTAGTTATTTACTCATTCATTCATGGATGCAATCACCCATTTATTTGTATGTATGTTTATTGGTTTGTAGTACGCATATTTATTTATTTGCCCATGTAAACAATTATTCATTTATTCGTTTATTCGCTCATTCATCCATTCATTTTTTTTCATTTATTCACTTCGCCATCTATTCAATCATTCTTTCTTTAATTATTCATCCACCAGTTATTCATTCAATCATTCATTCGTCTATTAACACATTGACGACCATGCAGATTTTTGATCGTCTGCCTTCTGGGGCCAAGGCCTTTTGCGGACCAGCCATTTTTCAACTATAATTACGCCTCCTGCCATTACAGTACACCTACAGTAAAATCTGAGCTGGCAAAAAAGGTAGAGATTATCCCCAGATCCAGTACAAAGGAAAGCTCGTGGAGTGAGTTTCTCACAAAAAAGTAGTCATTTTAACAAAATTTAAGTCTTGACACACATGGTGTGTCAAGGGATCGTCAATATGTTGATAATTACTTATCATACAACTGATTAACTCTTACTCTTTCACTTCATCTACCATTTAACATTTTCTCCCTTCATTCATCATTCACAACCCAATACTGTTCAATACCTTAGCTTACAGGAACTCGACCCTTGATAAACTCATCCGGAGCTGAACTAACCTGCTCTCCATCAGTGGCAGATTCCTGTCCAGGTGGAGCTATGTGTTATACAGATACCCTCACCAACGTTAAGAGATGCTGTGGGACCGATCCAGGCAAGTAAACTTTTTCTTAGGACTAAAATACCATGAGCAGTCTCTTAGGACAAGGCTGCCCATCTGGATCGCGGGTGTTGTTAACACCTGATGAAAAACCACAACTTTGTACACCTGGTAAGGCCGATGCCGTATGCCCAGTTGGAGCTGTGTGCCAATGGAGCCATTTGATAGATAGATACCAATGTTGTGAACCTGATAACGGTAAAATTGTTGAGTCGCCAAAAATGCAACCCTTCAACTTTATTTCCAGGATGTCCGCGGCACCAAAGCCCACAAAAAACGAGCATTGGCGTATCAATCAGATGTCGCCCTGGAGGTGCACCATGTCCGGATGGTGGATCATGTCAATTCAACTTTTGGACGGCCTCCTATCATTGCTGCCGTCTTGACACAGCAGGTAATGATCATTATTTCTGACAATGAGATCTTAACAACTAGTACATATACTCTTTCTAAGCCACGACCTATAACGAATTCAATTCAAGTAGAGAGTAGAGAGCAAATGTACAATTTGCTTTCTTCTCGCGAAGCATAGCCCGTAACCAACCAATTATTTGAATTACAACAACATAATTAAGCCAATTTTGTTACAATTTAATCCTTCTGAATTCGCACGCAAAATATGAGAAGCAGAGAGCATCTAACTTTCCAAATATTAACCTAACGAGTACATTATTACTATCCCCCTGATAAGAATGGATAATAGTTATCTAATGTGATATCCGGTTCCAAAGAGTGCTAGCTTTTTGGAATATTGTAAAAATCCAGATATTCCTGAATCGTGATGATCTAAGACAATAGGAACTGCATTTCACTTGAACTCACTCAAAATTTTTTCTCCTCTAAACAATTCATGCTTCCTTTATAGACTTGGTATGAGAATATGCAAGATTGTACAATTTGTTCTTGAAAAAGAATGACGATTATCAGCAGTCATTTTGGATCATAATTTTCAATAAAAGCCTAGTAAGTCTGTGTCAAACAAAATAATACAAAACAGACGCGAGATCTTGCTGTATCAAACGGGGAATTCCTTTTTCGAGGTCCACACAGCTCAATTCTGCCAGTCTTGCTCTTCAAACAATGCAGGTTGGAGGAAAAGCTTCAAACTTTTCCCTTTTCTCAAAGCTTGACTCTAGTGCGTGAGCTTGACAAATTACGCACAAACATAGGCTGATTAAAACCGGATGTTTTTTTATTCATCAGATATTTTATCGGATGCTTTTATTTTTTTATGAAGAGTTCGTCTGAAAGCAGATAAATTCCATCAAAATGTTCGCTCTTGAATGTTGGATGCACCTTCATTCACTTTAGAAGACCTTTATTCACCTATTAGAGAAATTTTTGCCTCTTATATCTTGGCATTGCGTTAAAATCATGCATAACCTAACAGCTTTTTCGCCTGAATTTCACTTGGGCTTCACTCACCTCAGCAGACATGATCCCTCTTCCAACGTGCTGAACTACTTAGCAAACAGATTAATTCGTCGTCTCGTTGTTCCTACTTTTCGGCGGCATCAGCACCAGCTTCACGAGCTTTGTCTCGTTTGTTGACGGCGAGTGACCACAACGATCAGATGAGCCTTTCGGGCTACTTGCTCTTTCGACTTTTATTAATAGCAATACTATCGTCTGCATTCGGTAAAACCTTGTGGGAAAAATGTAAGTTAATAATCTCTCAAATTTTCTGTCTTCTTGAAGTTCCTCTTAATCTTAGATATTCTTAGCCCTCTGACCAGTCTTTACTATCGTCTAAATCAAAAATATGCTTCCAATCGTCATTGCCCATTCGGATGACTTGGCATAATTTCAAAAAATCAGAAATTTTTTGCAATGTACTCAGGGAAAGATATGAAATAATTGAAGGTGACATGTCATTTCTTCTTTCCGCGCCAATACCAAATTTCCCAGAATGAACAATGAAATAATAGTAGTTCTTGCAATTTTCTATGAAAAAAAGTACATATAAACTCTTCTTTTCTTCGGGGAGAGCACGCAAGGCACAAATCTGCAACAAATCAAAGAATTTACTTCTAGATCTTTGCCCTATCGGACAAGTTCCTTACCTAGTCCAATCGAGTGGCGAACCCAAATCATGCAAGCAAAACACGGTTAGATCTTTGAACATTGAATTGAATGGACCCACAATTCTAGCTACCCCACTTCAGGACTGCCCGTCCAATTATCACTGCGGCGAGAACAAAGTCTGCTGTGGTACACCGGGCACATGTCCTCTTAACTACCAAGCTGCGCGGGATAGATACGGTATGTTTTGTTCTATTTTTTGTTTTATTCAAGGAAGTAGAATTGCAAGGAAAGGTGTTTCCTTTGAGGCTTAATTTCACAAAGAATCTGTGATTATAGGTCGCCTAACTGCTTGCACGTCCAGGAACGGTAACACTTGTCCGACGGAATCTACATGCATGGATACTACTATTTATTCACAACGGTTATGCTGTGAACAGGTCTGCAAAATCAATTTCAATAGTTATTACATAATTTGGACTGCACTATGTGAAAAAAATGCTTTTTCCAATGTTTTGACTCACAAAGTGTCCAACTTGCGTACAAAATCTTGAATGCTTTTTTTATCCTTGCAGCTTCCCGTTCACACGGGGTCTGCTGAAGAATCTTGAATGCTTTGTAAGAGTAAAAAAGGATGTAGACTTTTTGTTAGCTCGTAGTCATATATACATCGGAGCCTCAACTCTATTATCTATCACTCCTACATGTAATTTGAATGCCTCGATATCCTATAATTTCAGATTGAATACAAATGCCCAGGCTTCTCCACACCTTTCCCAAGTTCTCGTTTCCCACAGAAGTGTAATATAATGGATACGTGGTCATGTGGAGATAATCAGTGCATGCCGAGGTGAGTTCTATTCAAAAAATATTTACTTGATAATATAGTCGCCCTACGAGGAGAAGGGTAATTAAACCATTTAAGATAAAGTGTTGTCTGCAAAGCTCCTATATAGAAAAAATTTTCGCTTGCGAATTCTTCGGTTATCAAAAACGAAATTACCTAAAGACTGGATTGTAAACAAAAGTTAGCAACTGATACGAAGAAGGGGTGGTGGTCAACCCCAAAATATTGCTTTCACAATGCTTATGTGATATTTACGAAAATCCCGAAATATAGTGGCATTCAAGGAGATCGAGACATCCGTATTTTGCAATTTGCATCACTTTCTAGTATTTTTTCCAGCAACATTCCAAATGTGCACATTTGTTGCCAGCCCACTATTCGTCAACAAAGAGTAAGCAATCCTTGTCCCTCAGGATGGGCTCTCAACGACAACACCCTTACTGTAAGTTCTTCCGTAAGCTGTACAGAATTGTGTTATTGCGTAAGTATCATTCCTTTAGTACTGCACTCCATCGTACCAAATTTCCACTTGCCCTGGATCCTCGTCTTGTCTTCGGTCAGCAAGCACTCAACAACAATTCATCTGCTGCGTTCCTAGTCAGTGAACTTCGATGTACATTTTGAAAATCTGCTATATTTATCTGTCACTTTCGAATGATTGCACAAGCATAACCGAAATAAATATTTTTGACAAGTTTTCTGGGTGCATAATGGGACAAAAAAAACTTAAAAAACTAAAAAACGAATGCACAAATTCTAGTGATATCAACAGTCTTCAAAAAAGTTAAGCAGATATTTCTCCATAAAGGAATGTTCTATTCTTGTTTAGCCCGCCGCGCACCCATTCCATCAAACCCTTCCAACGATCAATGCCTAAATCCTGCAGCAAAAGTGGAACTTGTAGGAGGTCTTGCAAGGAAATGTGTCCGCAACACTAGATCTTGCTCTGCTGGGTAAGTTGCAATGCCTTTGAAGTAAGAGTACACAACGTGGGAAAAAATAGACAAAATTTCGATTTTTGTCCAGGGATCAGACGCAAATTTCCTTGTTGTGAATATGGAAAAATTTTAAACAGTAAAATGCAGGAACATAGTGACTACATAAACTTCGAAAAAAATGGCTAAGAAAACTCTAAAGAAGTCTTTTAGTTTGTCGAAATAAAAGATTCTGTGTGGTTTTCGAATTGAGTCCTGCAAGTAAAGAAGCGGTTACTAAACGTACTTTTGAGATTCCTAGTGTATTTTAGACCCTTATGGCTTATGACACTTTTCGAAAAGGATTCAACGTTCATTTTGTCGTGGACCTTCGTAAATAAGATAAACAATGCTGTAAGCTTTGAATTTCTCGCCGGCAGCAGTATCAGTTGACCATTTTCTCTCCTCCCCCCCCCCTCCTTCCTCTCCTCCCCATCCTACGCAAAATTATGAATTCTATGCTAAAAAGATGTTCAAATTCGTCTTGGTAATGGATTGAAGAAAAGGAAGTCGCAATCTTCAGCCACTAACTTGAACTTAATGAACGGGGTCAGTAGGGTTACTTCTTAAGAAGCTGGGTATTTGTGTCATGTGATGGATTATGCGACGATGCAACAATTGCTACAAAATTAAAATTTTGAGAGATTGATAGGCTTGGTTTTTCGTTACAGAAAACAATTCATGGATCACCTTGATACGACACGATTTTTATATTAATTGAGTTCGCTTAGTCACCTTTCGGTGACCTCATGGTCTAGCCTGGAATCATCAAATTCGGCCATGTTACCAGCTGCGCATAGCAAACATCGGGACCACGAGAACGAAGAGCAGCGCAGGCAATCAACATGCGTTCAGTTCGGTTTCAGAGCATTCTATCATACGTTGAAGAAGTTATGTGGTCTCGAGTCTTTTTCATCTCGTTTCTCGCCTTTCCTCTGAAAGTTGACCTATTTATGACTGTCCTTCGCACCAGCTCCTTAAATTCTCGACAATCATCGAACAAGGACTCAGCTTCTTCTTCTGGTGTTTTCGTAAATGTCCTTTCCATGTCCAGTGCGTTTGCGGAGTGCACAAAAAGCTGCAATATTTGCATAGAAAGTGATCCGACGCCGAATCGAAGTGGAACGTCGTAGAATGACCGGCACTCGATGTTCCTACGCTCTCTGCTTATAGCACTTCTGAGGCAGGTTTATGTTCTCGGTTAGATTCAGATCTTGGTACTTAATTATCATCACTTCTTCTCCTTTAAAACCCATCATCTCTCTAATTTTTGTGATTTTATGTACCCTGACAAAAATGCAGAATTTCTTTGTCAAAATAATCCAAGCAACCGGGTTTCTAAACTATGGGAATTTTTACCCTGATGTAAATTATTTCTGTGCACCATGATACTGCTTTCTGAATCCTGAAACTGTCATGCAAAAAGCATTGATCTCCAGACCTTTGATTGGCAATTATAATCAGATGTTCGAACGTTGCGGTTCAGCCAAACTCTTATCTGTTCGGAAAAATCAAGAGCAGTGTGAGACAAGTGTGCTCTTGAAAACGAAAGGTTTGAACTATTCGAGAGCGTTTCAAGCCTAGGAATATCTTCCCCATCATTCTGTAGCCAAATAGACCTAGCTAGACTGCAGAATTTGGTAAAATTGCAAATTTTCTGATGGTGATGCATTGTTTCTCATCCTCCTTCCTCTCATTTCCTTTTTCCTTTATAAAATGATGTGTTGTTTGATGTATAGGGTTTTTTTGGGAACTGGGACCATGCAAATATAGTATCTTTTGGATATACTGTATAGCCGTTAAGTTAATTTTACGCAAATATCAAGTTTCTGCAGCATAGCTTTCAACAAACAATAGAGGTGCAAATCTCCTTTGAAAATTCAAAAGAAGATTTTATTTACTACTCCTGAAACAAGCAAGATCTTAGGCTTCCATAGCCATGAGTTTAGGCCCTTTCTTCTACTCTTTTACCCAGGCCTATGTTTGATCCTTTTTTTCAGTTACTTTCTTTACAAGTACGGTAACTTTTAGCCAAGTACGAGCAGCTCATTTGGTATGAAAGCTTCTTTGTAGCAAGCGAGCTCAGTGGGAGTTACTAAAATAAACACGTTGTTTACATTTGGATGGTTGTTTTCAAAAAGATAGTCAAGATTATTTTCACTTTCAGCTTTTCTTGCCAGCCGTCAAGAAAGAACGAGTGGCTGTGCTGTTCGGTGCGTAGCGCAGTGGCTCAGGCTCAATTCAGCTGTCCGCTGCCGGGCCAGCAACCAGTCCGAGCTGCGGACGGTTCGAACCAGTTTTGCTCCAGACCTGGTCAACGGGATGATTGTCCTCAGATGTGAGATCTAATTACATTTCTATATTTTCACCTCGACATCTTGGAGTACTTTTTGAGGTCATTGTGCCTTTCTTCCGGAAACTCGCCAAATCTTTACATCTGCTGCTATTCGGCTGCCTTCCAGGTAATTTTACATTAAATCTCGGAAAAGCGCTTCTACACTAAATTTTTAGGTGACACCTATCTGTCCAAATAACGGCATACCCCAACCAGCTCCTTATGGTGAGAAGTATAAGTCATGCTCTGTGCTTAGCGACTGCGACTCAGGGTAAGACAACCAGCTTCTGTGGTATTCTAGATTGTAACAAGGTGATTTTTCAGCTTCTCATGTGTCCGTTCAGCCAACGATTACTCCACTAGCTTATGTTGCACAACTGGGGTCCTGCAGGAGCAGAGACCCGTCTGTCCTAGACAGGGTCATTTGCTAACGGTAAGAATACGCTTGGAGTCAGTTTCTAAAAAAGCAGGCTTGAACTCAAAAAGTACTAGCTATATTTGTAACTTGTCTGGGTCGCACATAAATCTGAATTGCATAAAAAAATCGCTCGGGACGGCTTGTTCATTTCACTACATCATAAAATGCTCTGAATTATTATATTAGGTTTTCCCGAAAGTTTTGTCGGTTTCTTTCATCGCTAACTAAAATTCACTGAACACCAATCTATAGACGGCTTAGGCGCTATTTGGTTCAGATTTTTATCCTCTTTCTTACAGTTATACTTGCTTTTTGATCTATCCTGTCTTTGCAATGTTACTGTCATGGCTTTTTGAGCAGCTCAGCAGTAACGCCAAATCTTTCCTGAATTTTAGAATTCTTTATTCTGATGTTTTTGAAGGGCGCTGCAACTGTTATGTAGAGCAAACCTTTGGCTACATTGTATTCATTTTAGATCACATAAACCGCGCTTACCAAGTCCGTTATAATTATTTAATTATTGAAAACCGCGGCGTTTTGCATATGTTTAACAAGTAAAAGTACCAAAAATTCCAAAAAGCTGCTTTTTCGAAGCGAATCAAAGTTGGTTATGTTGCTGTTAAGTAAGAACTGTGTTTCAATACGCAGAAACTTTAAAAGCTTTCGTGTGTTTTATGCAGTTGCGTGTTTCATGACTTTGCTAAAAATCGAGACCGGAGAAATAATTTTTTAAAGCTAAAATCAGCAGATTAGAAGGATCTAAAAATACCTGCTTGTAGTCCGAGAGTTGCTCTATTTGATCCATACTTAAAGCATTTCAAGAGTTTGTAATAAATCTTTTAAAAATTAGCCTAACTTTGAGCAGGTAAAATTGATGGGTGGAGAATTTTGGCAACTATCAAAAAAATCATACAAGATTGTGGTATGAAAATGCAACCATAGAAAAGAGAAGGAAAAGCTGCATCGAATGCATGTTAATACTCATTCAGATCTTTATTGTGCGTGGTTTTATAGTGGTTTGAAAAAACCGACAAAACTTTCGGGACAAGCTAATATAATCTGAGCCCATACTTTAGCAAATCCGCTGTATCTCCCTCTCGCTGAACTTTCAGCCATCATTCACTTACACAATATTCACATTACTTACATAAAGGGAATTTATTCGGCTTCAAACTCTCAAACAATGACTTTTGAATTTCTTTGACTGACTATGAGTTACCTTCCGAATTACAGCTAAGATTGCTTTGCTATATGCTAAGAGACTGCTTTGCTCCATTTTCCCTCTGCTTGTGCTCCTCGTTGATGCTGTTTGATGCAGCATTTTCTTGTTTTCCTCCTAGTCACTTTAGCGCCCAGAATCTACTGGATTCCAGTTTATTGCCGAAATTCTTCACTCGTCATTTCTATCCTTTCAAGAGTCTCACAGAGTTTTCTAGACTCTGTATAGACATACGAAGAAGAATGTATCGAGCAGATTTTGAGCTATGACTCCTTTTTAGGTTTTTCTTGTCTCCTGTTTGGAGTTCACAAATGTATTATCTGAGTTCAAAACTTATTGTTGTTTCATTTAGGTAACGTTTTGGTGGGTCAGCTTTATAAAATCAATTTTTTATAATTTCTCAAAAGGCTATGCGCTGCTTTTACTCAGAACGGTGAAGTTTCTCTTGAATGAGTCAAAAGTTCAGGTTTGGCCCATGTTGATATCGGAAGTAAATTGAAGACCATGGCGAACATCGCAGATTTTGCATAGAACATAGAGGAGGGGCGGCTAATACAATATCGCTCACATTTTTTGAAAAAAAGACGCGAATATATGGACATGTATGGATATGTACGGACATGTCCATACATGTATGGACATGTCCGTACATGTCCGTACATGTCCATACATGTATGGACATGTCCATACATCAGCGTCGCGTGGCCATATCTCGCTTCAGAGTGGACGAATTCTGAATCCAAAGCCACCATTCGATTCATCTCGGCGCGGAGAATCTTCTGATATATTGGAAGTGGGGATACGATGTCTTCAGTATTCCGTTTCCAGTTTTTTCAATTTGTTCTGCGGAGGTCCTTTCGCGAATATGTGAAGCAACGCCCACCCAACATAGAAGACTTTACTAAGTACTATTCGATAATACTGTTCTTGTAGATTATTGTGCGCTAAAAATAGGCTCAGACTTCTTTCCAAAGAAGATAGAAGCGTTGGTGAATTTTGGAAAAATCACGCGTTTTTAAATTCTACTCGCCATAACTTCCTTCGGAATAAGTATATTTTGAATCCGAAAACAGCGCCTTGCTCAGCTCATCAAGGCGAATTTTTTCATTTACAGCATGTCCTTGATCTTTCGATTTCAGTATTCTTGAATCTCTCTGAGGAAGTCTTTTCGCGAAGGTGTAAAGCAGCGAGCATTGTCCCGAATACATTCCAGCAAGGACCTTTCGATAGCACTTTTTCTGTAGATTATGATGTGCTAAATAATAGCCGCAGGTTTCGTGTCAAAGGAAATAGAACGGCTGGTGAATTGTGAAAAAATCTTGTCGTTTCAAATTCTAATCGCCATATCCGCAGGATACGAAGCTATTTTGCTAAGCAGATGTGAGTTTCGAAATTAGCAGGTCGCATAACCTCTACGAGCAAGTTTTGCGATATGTTCGGGTTATTCCATTTTTTCTCGTTTTACGCTCCTGAAGCTCGCCGATAAATTTTGGTCAAAATGTTGATGCTCTTGAATTGCAAGAAAACTTCGCTTATAGAGGTTTTCGAACACGCTCTTTACGAAGGTGGTCTTCGAGGATTACAGGGTCTCTTTGGAGAGGTACGGTGAGGTGACTGTAACTGCACCACGAAAGTGCGTAACTTTGCCCGCACTTCTCGCGTATCTGTCGGAAAACTTGCCTGTTTGCTTTTCTAAGTCAAAATTACTAGAAAATGTTCTATCGAATGGTGCATGACTCAGGCTCCAGTCTATGAAAATCGCCGAGTTACGAGTCTACGAAAACACGTCCTCACGAATTTTGCCCAAAATGTAAAGATCGCAAAATTTGTCGAAATTCCACCGTGAGCGCTTGTACAACGCGCTGATCAAATCCTTCCACATTTTTAATGGATCTTATTGTGTTAGATTTGGTGCTTTGAGCTCTAGCCACGAAATAGCTTTGGTATTCAATTGAGCAGCTGAAGCAGACGCAAGCACCATATTCAGTACAGTGGAAGTCGTTCGACGAAGCGAACATAATATCTGCAATGAGCGTCAAGCGATATGATAGAAGTGCGGTAGCGATACGCGAGAAGTGCGGGCAAAGTTACGCACTTTCGTGGTGCAGTTACAGTCACCTCACCGTACCTCTCCATAGAGACCCTGTAATCCTCAAAGACCACGATTTTCGTAAAGAGCGTGTTCGAAAACCTCTATAAGCGAAGTTTCCTTGCAATTTAAGAGCATCAACATATTGACCAAAATCCATCGGCGAGCTTCCAGGAGCGTAAAACGAGAAAAAATGGAATAACCCAAACATATCGCAAAACTTGCTCGTAGAGGTTAGCGACCTGCTGATTTCGAAACTCACATCTGCTTGGCAAAATACTTCGTATCCTGTGGCTATGGCGAGTAGAATTTGGGACGACAAGATTTTTCCACAATTCACCAGCCGTTCTATTTCCATTGAAAAGAAACCTGCGACTACTATTTAGCACATCATAATCTACAAAAAAAGTGCTATCGAAAGATCCTTGCTGGAATGTCGGGACAATGCTCGCTGCTTTACAGCTTCGCGAAAAGACGTCCTCAGAAAGATTCAAGAATATGAAATCGAAATATCAAGGACATGTTGTAAATAGGAAGATCCACCTTGATGAGCTGAACAAGACGAACAGGATCTCCGCAGAACAAATTGAAAAACTGGAAAAATATCGAAGACCTCGTACTTCCACTTCCAATAAATCAGAAGATTCTCCGCGCCGAGCTGAATTGAATGGTGGCCATGGATTCAGAATTCGTCCACTCTGAAGCGAGATATGGCCACGCGACGGTGATGTCATGTCAATACATGTATGGACATGTATGGACATGTCGCTCATGTCCATACATGTATGGACATGTCCGTACATGTCCACACATGTCCATACATTCGCGTCAATTTTTCAAAAAATGTAAGCGGTACTGTAGAGAAACACCGCTTGTCGGTCAGGGTATGATTGGACAGATAAAAAAATCGGAAAATTTGAATCCCGTTTATCATCGCCATTTTATTGTGACATCCTTCTAAGCCTTTTGATTACCACTTCTTGTAGAATTTACTGGACTGATGGTTTCACCTATTTGCGTTCTAACAATAAGTTTGAATTACAATATTCAATATCCCTATCTGCCTCACCAGTTTTACCTTGATTGCAATACTAATCTTTGTCTAATTTCGTACTCATCAAGCTGACCACTCTAGTCTTGTCCTCTAAGGATTCTCTCATCAAACACCATCGATCACACTGTTAGCAACTTTTAGTTATTTATCTTCTAGATACTTTTCAATTGTCTTTATATTACCTTTCTGCGAAAGTTTTCCCAAATTCATTCCAAGTCAGCTTCCCTGTTTTTCTGACAGAAACTTGTGACAAGAAGTTTTTAATCTTCAGGTCACATTTATTTATAAGCTTTTGGTTTTCTCAAGATACATCAATGCATAGCCCATATTTTTCTGCAACATTTCGTGGGAATTTCAGCTTGTGACAGCTGTTGCAGGTTTGCAGGAATCTGCTACATTTTGCTCGTTATGATCAGCTCATGGGACCATACTTGGGGCATGCTTACACGCTACAATCGTTTCTCATTATTGCAGAAATTTGATTCGCACAGTCGAAGGTTTGAGCGCGGACCTTTAATGACGCTTACCAACTCAAAACCCCATGAACGTTTTGGCGCTTGATTTTCAGCGGTATCTGCAGGTCGAGCAGTCGCTTTTTTTCTTCAGGTTAAGCCTGCGATCTAAGCCATTCTCTTCACTTATATCTTATAAAACCAGCCATGAAGAGAAAAGCTAACATATCAAATGAAAAATAGTTCCTTGAACCACCAATTCGTGTTTGTCGCACAAGTGTCAAAAATTTGTTAGCCTGCCAACGAGTTAACATCGTTTACACTCTGACTGTTTGTGAAGCATATATGATCATTCCTTTATTTCTTTGCTTTTTTATGCTTTTGTCACATTATCGCCATGCTGAGATTGCTCTGTCCATGGCACTCATGCGCAAACTGATAATACGAATTCTAGGAGCGTGGCAAGCCTGTATACTGTGTGAGGTCGCAACCACAACTGTGTCCACAAGATTACAGCTGTCAGCAGGCTCTGGGTATTCCAGGAACATATGTTTGCTGCAGCTCTTCTTTGGACTCCTGTCCGGCCTCACACAAAGCCGTTATCGATGCAGAAGGAAATCAGGTTAGTCTCAGTCGTACCTGTTCCAAGCACTCGTTATTCTTGTAAACAAGAAATGACTGGTGAAGTTTCAATTTTTGCCGCGGGTTGTACTTCCGGCCGCATTGCCCTTTGCTCTCCTGCGTCGTCCTACAGGAACGGGGAATAAATTTGTGGGAGGGGGAGGGAGATATAAGAGGCGCGGACGTCCGCGCATGTAGCTGCAGCTTGCGTGGTGCTCGGAAAGGCTGTCACAACGAATTCCCACAACTCTACATCAGAGAGCAATGCTACACCCAGCTAACTATTAGGTTGTCCCATAAGTCTTTTCATTTTTGAATTTTCGCTATAATAAGTCACCACTTCTTACTCTAAATAGACATCAGGATACCATTCGATAGAGCAAAGCAAGCTCTATAAGATGGCGTTTACGCTTTCGCAGAAGCTTTAGTCTATCTCGAGTTTTAAATCAAAATCTAGAATGTTTCGGATGGCCAAAAAACCGAAAATTTTTTATATCTTCCTTCAAAAAAATCCTACAAACCTCAAACTCGCTCACGTGTATACATTCCACATAAGACATTCATATGTGCTGTTGCTGCATTTTTTTATCGGCTAGAAATCAAGAAACCGGAAATTTTCCTGTCTTTATCAAAGTGATGCTGTGCTGTTCTTACACTGACAGTTGTATACTACAAGCCCTTAGAAGTACTGCAGTAGATTTTTGGCTCTCTATATGCTCTAGTTAACGAGAAATATCAAATTTAGCTTTCTTCACTTGGGTTTTTCACGCTTAAATCAACATTTCTCGGAAACCAGAGCTTATATAGAGCTAAAAAGTTATGATTGTACCTCTAAGGGCTTGTAGTATACAACTGTCAGTGTATGAACAGCACAGCATCACTTTGGTAAAAACAGGAAAATTTTCGGTTTCTTGATTTCTAGCCGATAAAAAAATGCAGCAACAACACATATGAATGTCTTATGTGGAATGTATACACGTGAGCGAGTTTGAGGTTTGTAGGATTCTTTTGAATGAAGATATAAAAATTTTTCGGTTTTCTGGCCATCCGAAACTTCCTAGATTTTGATTTAAAACTCGAGATAGACTAAAGCTTCTGCGAAAGCGTAAACGCCATCTTATAGAGCTTGCTTTGCTCTATCGAATGGTATCCTGATGTCTCCTTAGGGTAAGAAGTGTGTGAATCATCATAGCGAAAATTCAAAAATGAAAAGACTTATGGGACAACCTTATATTTCCGAGACTCTCCGCGTCAAATCGAAGCGCCCTTCATGTTGTCGGCATATAGGCTTTGACACTCTGGCACTAGCACGCATCGTGTCCCATCTTTTAGCGAATTTATCTGTTGAAGTTAATGGACATTAAAGGCAGTGTCCGGGCAAAAACTTGATTTTGAGATTTTGTGCTTACTTGAGCCTATTCGCTACGCTGAATCCGAAAATGCACATTGTAGAGCGCGAAAATGGCGAAAAACGGCTCTAACACAGGAGGGAAATGAGCAAGTGGGCGGGGCTTTCCCCAGTGCGATTTCACTTTCCCGGCTTCCGGAGCGACCTTCTCGCTTCCGGTTTCAAGTCAATCATTCGCACTTGACCGATAGCGATGTTAGGACGGCTAGCGGAATCGACAAAATCGCTCCGGGAGCCGGGAGCGTGAAATCGCACTGGGGAAAGCCCCGCCCACCTGCTGATTTCCTTCCTGTGTTAGGGCCCTTTTTCGCCGTTTTCGCGCTTTCCAATGTGGATTTTCGGATTCAGCATGGCGAATAGGCCCGTATAAGCACAAAATCTCAAAATCGAGTTTTTGCCCGGACACTGCCTTTAAGTTTAATGTATTAAAAGCCGCAAGGCCATAATTTATCTCACCAATTAGTTCACAAGAGAGATTCCAGAAAACTGCGCGACTACAAATCCTACAATGTGATAAACGAATAGCCCAGATTTGCAGTACAGCGAGATTAAAAGCCTCAGGCTACTTCAACAACTGCATCAGACAGATTACTTGAAGCGCGGCGCGCCTTTGGTCTTGTTGATGATATCGATAGTTGTGGAGGCGCTGCTTGATCGATGGATGTTGAGTGACGTTGCTTGGAAAGGACCTCTCATAGATGTGTCGAGAATCACTTTATGAAAGATAAGCGCTATCAGGGTTGAGGAAGCCTTTGAACAACATTTAGGTGCTATAGGGTGCCAGTAACAGTTAACAATCAGTACAGTCTACGTTTCGGCGAAGATCGCCTTCTTCAAGATCTGGAAGCGAGTCAACGTGTGCAGTAATTCACTCCAAGGGTAGACATACCTTCAACAATACTGTGTAGGGTACGCCCACCACTCTGACAATGTGTCAGACCACTACTCGCTGTTTAGTGTGATGGAATGAACTTTTCTTTGTATGGTCAGACTCTCCACACATTTGTAGGAAAGGGGCGAGTTCATTGCTGACGGCAACTTTTTCTCCTTTCCTGTTTAGTTTAGGACATCTGCATGATATCCAACAAGCCTCTATGGCTTTTCGCGCGGCAATATTCGTTTCTTTGGAAAGAACAGATATGCTGATGTCAAACGCGATGTCCTGGTGGGAAAGTTTTCGATGTGCGCCTAAAGGCGTGGACACTCGCGATTTTCGCATTCCATCCAAATGTCCGTTTATTCTTAGGCACAACGGTCTTCCTGTTTCTCCAATATATTCTTCACCACACATTTTACACGTTATAAGATACACAGTACCTCGGCACATGCAATCTCCCGGTTTATTGGAATTGCATACAATGCAGTTCGCCTTCACACACGCTTGATCATGACTGTTACTGGCAATAAAGGAAGGAACTATCAATCTTGGAAAGCTCAACATCATATATCGTGATCTTTAAACTCTTTAAATTTGATTAAGCTTGACCAAGGTGGCAAAGGAATAAATAAAATGCTTACACGTTTCGGCGAAGTATAATGCCAAGGTTAATTAACAGTCGGATTTTGCCCGATCTCTAAACTGTTCCATAAAAGCCCTCCAAAAATTAAATTGATATTTTTGATCCTACCGGAATTATGCTTTCTCGATAAGAGCGCAAACTGATCGTGAAGATGCACATGGAAGGAAAGTCTTAAATGCGGACTGCCCAAAGACTCGGATTTCCGCGGAACACAGTATGGTACAACCTGCGCCGTTTCAAGGAGAAGCAGCACCCAGGACCCTCCTAGGGACGGTAGACCAGCCACCGCGAACACTTCCGCAAACCGGAAGATCATCCGAGAACGCATACGTCGTAATCCACAGAAGAGCTTGAGTGAGCTGGCATCAGAGCTGTCCATCAGTCGTAGGACCATCTCGGTCATTGCGAAAGTGAACCTTGGGATGAAGCTCTACCGGATGCAGAGAACGCACGCACTTCAAGACAATATGAAGCTGACCGGACTCCACAGATGTCGCCGATTGCTTGAGCGCTTCCCAAAGGCACGCCTCGAACGATCCTCTTTTCTGACGAGAAAGTTTTCACCGTGGAGCAAGTTTTCATTCGCCAAAACAGCAGGATCATATCCAAGTCGCTTGAAGAAGCAAAAATCAAAGGTCGACTTGTGGAAAGTAAGCTCCATCCGGCTTCTGTGATGGTTTGGGCGGCAATCACTTTCGACAGCAAGACGCCGCTGATTTTGTACCTCAGGGCATCAAGGTAGACGCTGCTGCAAGTTTGGATAGCATCCTGAAGAAGGTACTGCTACCCTGGACCAGTACTCATTTTCCCGGTAGAAATTGGTGCTTTCAGCAGGACAGCGTACCTGCTCACAAGGCGAAGGTTGTTTAGGCATGGCTTCGAAACAGCGTAAAGAACTTCATTACTCCTGTAGAATGGCCTCCGTATTCGCCGGATCTGATAAACATTACATATTTATTTCATGTAAATATGTTGCCTAGTTTCGTGACTACGATTAGAATACCATTGTAAAGACTTTCCCCCAACCCTGTATATCTGGCAGTGAGAGGCTGGAGTGCGACTAGGACCGCTTTCGCGCGGTCAGAACCCCTTTTGAGAATTAATTTATTCGTTAATACGCGCAAGGCGCCACATCTGGAACCATTAATTTAGAACGTAAGCAGAAACAAGAGAAAACAAACATCCATCAGATCAGCTCAAGTCCAGCCCCAGAGAGTTTTTCTAGGAATAGAAAGGGATTAAGCTTGTTTAGACATACATGAAATCTCAATGGTGTAAAGGTTCGGTGGAGTACGCCTCGCCCCCTGCTTGCAGCAAATGTGCTCTTTCATTATCTAACGTAGGCATCTGTACATGGGGAAAGGGATGTTGGCAAATACCCGCCCAACCAATGTCTGAGTTGGGAACAGAACTTCGAGAGGAGAAAAGCGCGTTGAAAAGCTGACCAAGCCTAACATATTGTCCCGAAATAACAACGGAATTGGTGAGCCAGATCCAAACTAACGTGTGAACAAAATATTTGTTTAACCGCCAAACATCAAAATGCAATGACGTGAATCAACTTCAGTGAATTGTCATCTGATATGAACAAAGACTCAACAAAAAGCGTCTCTTTCACATTCTCCCAATCACGATCAACATAGAGTAAACAACTAGAGTGTAAAAAAGATTATTAAGTAAGATCGCGCCATTCCCGCAATAATCGACGAAGCAATCGTCATCCGCGTAACACTATGGCTGAGAAGTTGTGGCTACAAATGCAGGATGTGTAAATTGTTCGAAAACGCAGACAAAGACGACGTCTTTGTTATTTTATTGTAATCAACTTTCTCAGCTATTCTAGCATAAAGTAGCGATCTCTCAGATCCAAGTTTTATAATCAAGTATGTGTGCTGCTTACAATCGATGTCAACCAAGCGGTCCTTTTTCCGTATCGTCCAAGCATCCGCAGCGCGTGGACATTGCGCGGCGATGGATGCGGCAGATTTGAGCGCTCGAGCGGTACGCCCGCAAACGCGGCAGGGTTCTAGCGTTGCGCTTGAGCTGATCGCCAAGGAAGCGCATCGTTGACATCGACTGTACAAATATAACAATGCCTTTTTTCAGATATCGTGCTCACCCACAAATCTTACCGACTGCCCTGGGGGCACCCAATGTATGCAATCAACTCGAGATAGTCGGATGCATTTGTGCTGCAGTAGTGAAGAGACGTGGGTTTTTTCTGCTTCTTTTATGTTACTGAAAAAACTATATTTGAGCAGTGCTTAGTGCAAAGTGCTATGCCATAATTGTTTTGCACTTTTATACTTGCCAAACGCGAATAGCGCCTTAATGTCGGATTAAAGAGTTAATAAACAGTTAGTCTTAGACGCGCTCTACATCATCAGTTCGCTAGTACAAAATGCAATTTTAGTCAAAATTTTGAACTGTTAAACGGCGGCTCTTGAGCTGTGAATCAGTTTCCCTCAAAAAGTGTTGCAGACCACGCGTATGTCCTCGCAGTCAAAAAGCTCTCCTCACTTCTACCGGCTCAGTAGAATTATGCAATTCTCCTGGGTTGCCTTGCTATCAGGTATGATGATGATGATTTCCTTCTTTAGAACACCTGCAAAATAAATGAAAATTGTTCTGTTTAGGATGACTACACGTGCCAATGGTCTGCATCTCTTTCACAGTATGTCTGTTGCGGGAGAGATGTCGCAGCAGCGTATTGTGCTGATGGACGTAGCACCTACGAGCAAATTGAAGGTTAAAGATCTAATCGTAGTAAAGAAGTACTGTCAAAGTTTGCTTACCTTGGGCACCCGATACCATTTAGTCTCATACTTAAAAACTCTTCTGAAATTGTATGCATGCTGATTTTATCCGAAACTCTGTTTCCTGTCGGGATTCATACTTCTTCAATAGGCTATAGGAAGAAATTGATTCAACTTGCTCGTCATGATCTTTAAAGATTTTCTTTTTGTGTGCATCTTCTAAAAAATTGCCAGTGTCATACAGGCTTGGAATTGGTTTGTTAAAGGGCGGTCCTGTTATATACCATGTAAAGGACAGTATGTTAAAGTATTTCGTTTCAAACTTTTTTTAGGTCAAACATATTCGTGTAACCCACTAGGGTATCCTTCGTCATGTCCCAGTGGCTACACTTGTGAGCTTTCCACAGCACCAGGCATCAACGTTTGCTGTAAAACCCGTGAGTACTACATTAAATGAGTTGAAATTGAATTTGTGTGTTAGTTCAATCAAAGAATGTAAATAAGATTGATTGAATCAAGGGAATTTCAGCAGTTACTACCACTGCACCCGCTTTGCCTCCTATAACGACCTTACCCGTTATAACTCCACGACCACCGCTTTCCATGAATGGACTGCAATGCCCGGATGGTTGGAATCCTTACCGTAATGATCTCGGCTTTCATACAAGAACATGCAGTGGAGTATTCGACATGAGGTTGTTTGAATATTATCGATGAGAGAATGTCAGCACAAATAACCCTTTAGTTGCCCGGTCGGCTATTCCTGTGCTCCATCGAAAAGTGGTGGAAATTTTGTATGCTGTCGATTGGCCAGCTCTTTGCGATGTTTGAATGGGGAAACGTTTTTATCCAACACTTTTCCTAGATTATGTAACCGGTACGTGCACAGTCTTATCTACGCCGTCTGATCGTTCTTCTTACAGCTATAGGACCAATGAATGTCCTCGCGGGTATACATGTCAAGAGAGCTCCCATGTAAGATTTTATAGTTCTCTGCTGATAATATTGCTCATTGGACCGCTTTCAGCCTACAATATCGGTGTGCTGCAGTTCTGATCTACCGTTAAACCGTGAGATGTGCATGAACGGGCGTGAACCCGCTCTAATGAATGGGTTTGTCAGAAGCTGTCCTAGGGAGGGCTCAACAGGCGGTTGCCCTCCCGGTCACACCTGCCAAAAAGCCGTCAGTGGGCTACTAGTGTGTTGTAGCAGGTTAGTACAACTTCCACATATTCAAGGTTGACTCGTATACAAATCTAGCGAATTGCAAACTATTCACATTAACGAATAATTGAATGCCATTTCAATATCAGTATAGTTGAGCAAGTATAGAGACAAAGCTCCTTTTATGCAAATTTTGCACGAGCTCTCCTTTAACCTTTTAAAGCCCCCCCCCCCTACTCGCTGTCTGTTTCTCTTGCATATAAACTATCGCTCAGCTCGAGAGTAGAGTATGAGATTAAAAGACCAGAAGCCCTTTTTTATCACTCTTTGCAAAGATTTCCAATCTTGATACTTTGATGGGCTTGCGCAATTATATGTTTTACTTCACCGTCGGAGGCGAATAATCGACACATCCACATTTGTCCGTCCTTGCTTTCACCCTCCCCTCCCCATCTTACGCTTTCGCTCCGCCCTCTTCCCCTACCCTTCACTTTTTCCGGAGATATTGAGCCAGATGCTACGTCAGATACATGCGATTCTAATAGATTTCACTAAGAACGATGTTTAAATACTCGATTGCAAATAATTTGAGTTCGATGATTCATCAGGTTTGAGTGTTGTCCAAAAATCTATAGTCGAGATCCACTCTTTGACGAGAGTTTGATTGTTATCGTGCCTTTTGCGCCTATTGAAGTTAGGCGACACTATAGCCAACTTTTGCTTTATCTGAAAAAAAAAATGCTTCTATCTACATTAGAAGATACATAAAACGAATCGGCGTCTTCAATACCCTCTGCGGGCGTGCGCTGAACGCATTCCGCTCGTCGTCATTCATCTGTACTAAATCCAACTATTTTCAAAATAATTTGCTGTTTTTATGATAATTTTCACATCGTAAATTCAAATTTGTTTCAGCTCTTATTCAAGAAGTGAAGTGAAATCTATTGCGCCAACGGTTTGTCCAGAAAGCAGGTTAACTGACTAAACTTCACAATAAGTTTGCCGCAAAGTTAGAACACTGCTATATTTTAGGCAACCAGTCATTAGCCCAGTTACTAACGAAGTAGTCTATTGTGATCAGACGGCATACATTTGCCCCGATGGAAAGGTTATTGTAACTCGCAACCTTATTCTTAAAAATATTCATGTTTTAGGCTTGTTTGCCCAAAGTTAAAAGCGATCGCTATGTATGCTGTTCGGAGGTTCCTAAATGTCCCGATGGTGAAGCTGAAGCTTATTCCGGAGGAGAGCTTAAGAAGTAATCATAGTTTCCATATATTGAAACAAAAATTTCAGCGAAAGGCCCCATGGTTGTGTGTTTTGCTCTGGGACAGGGTTGAAGCCCAAGTCAAATAATTTTCAAATAATTTTTTTCAACAGCAATCGATTTTCGCTATCCCTCCTTCCAAGTTCTTTGCTCATCCTTCTAAATCACTACTGTGGCTATCCCATTCAAACCTCATGCTACATAAGAAGTCAGGAAGGGAGCACGTGAGGATAGAAGCAAGATACAATTCGGGTTTCTAACCAGGAGTGAAGCTTTCCTTTCAAATGCGCTGTACTTCGCTATGCGTGATGAACAAAAGCGTATTATTGCTCTACCCGGTTATTAACTTTTAGCATGATCGTTGTAAATCGCGGGGCTGACTTTTTTCTGGAAATCGTTACCCTCTTAGGAAATCAATGAAAATATTGAATGAAGACAGACAAAATATTGCTGTTTATCTAATGCAACAATGTTAAGCATATTTCTGCAAAAACAATTGAAAAAAGAAGGTAGCGAAGTCTCTGAAAAGCACTAAGTGCTTCCCAAAATTTCCAAAAATTCTGATTATCTTGGTTATCTATTTTTGTTCTTGTCAATACGCATGGCACTGTTATCTTAGATCGACTGCACAACTTTGTTATTTCATCATCATCCTTAAAAAAAGGCTGCCAGTCGCATGGGATTGTGCGGAAACAGTACAAATTGTAAAATCTGCTTACACGATCATACGCTTCTTTGCAATGTCTTCACGGTAGGTATATCGTAAGAGTTTTGGACAAGCAATACGAACTCAGGTTTGTGGAGCAGGATATAAAGCCCTTCTATAAGTTGTACTCATCCTCCCGGCAAACTTTGTGAGGCTTTGGCTATTTGAAAAGCTTCTTTCGCCAAAATGAGGGATTTGTACAGCTGTGAGGAAGGATGTGCGCGTGCTTAGAAAGAAACTCTGTATTTGGAATTTATGCCACATCTTAAATTTGGGTCAGCAATTTTAGCGTTGACAACATAGAATTTAGGTGTTCAAGCTTCGCGGATTGCACTCCAGGCAATGTGTGCAAGCCTTCTACCGTAGACGGTGTACACTTGTGTTGCTCGTCAGGAGCCATTCCAGTTGGAGAGGTGAGATGTGAATTTATAAGACAGTTTTTTCAAGAAGCATCTCGATTGTGCGTACATAGCACACCGCTGTATGCTTGCCGTTATGAATTTCGAGTGCTAGTTTTTTCACTCTGAAAGAAAAACGGCTTCACTTACCAATATCTTCAAAGGCGTGAAGTTATTAAGGCTGTAAACCAACTTTCTCTACAAAATACTTGATTAATTTTCTATTAGCTTGAGCACTGGTTTAGAGATTAAGGCCACAAACAAACATTGCTCTCGTTGCTAAGCTTCAGTGTGTATGTATAAGCCCACAATCTGCGAACATGCTGAGTTTGTTATGATGGAACTTAAAGAAAAGGCCTTGATGTCTTTGAAAGAAGAAGCGCAACACACGTTTTGAACCCAGCACGAAACATTAACAATTTAGAAGTAAACAACGTATAGTAGACGTCATCCGTCTAGTCACCTCGGTGCGATGTGTGTTACTGACACAATTTCAAAATCCCGGATGAGGTGCTGGGCTCCGGCCGTGCCGTATTTGCACTAAGTGCGCATACGGCCGAAATTCGACGCCAAACTGCCCGTTTTTTATTTTGATGTTTTTTGTTTTTAGCTGCATGCACGATCTAGTTTTTTGATGATTTGTTACCTTTACACTCGTGCATTGCCGTTTTAGATTGGACATCTCAAAAGTTATCACTTCTGCTTTTAGGTAAAGTAGGCACATGGGCAATCTTGCAGGATTGTGAAGTAAGTATGCTTTGCGATGCTGAATAAGATCCATGGAATTCAAAAACACTGCATTAAAAGCAAAATTTTCTGCTGGAAGCAGTTCTTTGTTTGAAAACAGCTTCTCATTGAAACTCGGTATAAAAAACCAAGATCTTCGATAACAATCAAAAAGAAGTTGAAACTCGTATTGTCACTCTATTCTTTCTACATACGACAGTACTGAAAAGCACACTCACTTCACAATCCTGCAAGATTGCCCATGTGCCTCCCTTACATGACAGATGTGGTAACGTTTGAGATATCCGATCCAAACAAGCAGTTTGGCGTCGAATTTTAGCCGTATGCGCACTTGGCGCAAGCACGGCCGGCGGGAGAACAGCACCTCATCCAGGATTTCGAAATTGTGTGCAATAACTCACATCGCACCGAGGTGACTAGACGGATGACGTCTACTATACGCTACAAACTATCGAAGAAGGAGTGCAAATATGCTGTAATGTTGAAATATGTAATCACAGAACAAAACCCTTTGAAGATTTTACTGGCTCGCGCTCTTCTAAGAACGGGTCGCGAAATTTTTGAAAGTTACTTACACGGGTTACAAAATTGTGCAAATGACTTGTCTGCACTTGTAAATGATCAAAGTAATTTTTAAAATCTTCTAAAAATTCATTTTGGCCTTATAAAAAAATTTTTCGGAAGCGTGGCTGACGCCACGCCCCCTTTTTCTGAGATTTGGGGTTCTGAGCCCGCGAAAGTTTTATGGAGCGACCAAAAAATCTTTCGGAGTGCGTGGCTGACGCCACGCACTTTCATCGGAAAAATTTTTTTGTCCCCCCCCCCCCCCTCCCCCGAGCCGAAATCCTGGGTACGCCACTGTAATTGGCATAAATAGAGCAAAAACGATACAGTCTGCGAAAGCAATGAACATTTTTCAACCCAGATTGTGTATCAATTACGGGCTTTTTGTGATGTGCACAATGAATGCGGACCGCGGTTTTGAATCACACTTTGCCCTCTATATGTCTATAATTAAAATGTTAACATCAATTAGAACTACAGGTACTGACTTCCCCTGCCAAAACTGCAATCGCAAATGTTAATGGTGAGGAATGGGTTGTGATCGAAGGCTAATCCTGCAATCCGTGTTCATTGAGTTACGTGCCAGGTCTCAATGTAGAAATCATTATTTACAGTAAGTCACCGTTTACATGCTCTTCATGAAGTTGATGACTCAATCGCCAGTTCTCTTGTAAATCTTATTATGCTGTTCTTCTACTTCATGCTTGCGAAATCATGATACTTAGTTGTTGATGTTGTTGTCCTGTTAATAAGGGTAATTTATTTCAATTCGACATTTGACGTGTGATTAATTTTTTAGTGGCTTAAAGTATTTATGTACTCCAAATACATTACATACGTGTGTTCCATCAGAATAAAAGTATAATACACTGATGCTTGAAGTTTGTCACCACATATTAGGCGCTTATTTATGATGTCAGCCTTGAATTTTGTATTCACAAATACATCTGCTCAGTAGTCAAGAATTGTCGCTCCCTCAAAATGAATGTGGTACATACAGAAGACTGATAGATTGAGCTAGTATAAATAAAGCTCATGTCTGTTTGTCTGTCTTCGTTCTGTGTGTCTGTCTGTGTGTACGTATGTTACAAATATTAGGTTGAACCGAAAGTTCTGTCGCACGATTTTCAAAAAAATCATAACTGCTTTCCGTCACGACGATTTTGCGCAATTCAAATTTTATCTGAAAGCGTAAAGCATGTAGTTTTCAAATGTTCTCTGGCGACTTTCCAGCATGCTCAGGTTGCAAAGATAAAAATGAAAGAATGAGATCTTCCAAAATTCGGAATTTCCAAGCAAGAATTCTAAAAATTCAGAAACTGTGCGATAAAATCCAGAAAAGCCATTATCTTAATTTTTCTTATATTTGATTACTAACTGAGTCAAGTTTGTGCTAATAGAGCCCTCTTTCAAAAGTTATGATTTTTTGAAAAAAATGGCGAAAAATCAATTTCCTAAGATTTCTTAAGAAATTGATTTTTCGGTATTTTTTTGCCAGCTGCAGGCGATCTGTCTTTAAGACGAATTTGAAAGCTATAGCGCAGCAGTCACTGGGTTTGAGACGATATTTTGTCTGTATGTCTTCTATTATATAACCATCAATTGAATTCGGTAGATGGAACAGTAAAAGTACTTTTTAGTCTAGAGATAGTTTTCCGTTTCTTCTAGCGCAATTAGCCAGGTGCAGTATGCGGAGTCCACATGCCTTCATGAAATTCCAAAATTTTCAATTCTAATCTTTGCACAAAAATTTCTTCGCAGCATATTTTAGCCAAAAGCTTCTGTAAGATGCTGCTCATATGCCAAGTGAAATCTAAAGTAACTATTAGCGTGCCACGCCAGTTGGGATGGACTCGCCAAGATTCTGTTAGAGCACGTTGAATCCAGAAGAGTTTTTCGAAGTCTGAGAGTTGAGCTATATTTTTGAATTGAGTATGCAACAAATTTTTTGCTTCTAGGTGTTTGAAAAAATGCCAAGCTCCCAGGCTTTTATATATGGAATAGAATAACCTGATGTAAGAGCAGGGTGGCATTGTACGCTGATTTTTTATGCATTTTCACATTCACATAACAGAGAAGTTGCAGGCGATAACGTAACAGTCAAGGTCACTTGTTTATGCGTTATACTAGATATCAGTCACATCTTGGAAAATATTCCTACCCGGTACGGTTAAGCCCGTAAAACAATTATCACAAAGTTGTAACTTAATATCCTATGTTCACCGTCTCACGAAAAGATGAGGAGTTTGCTCGTCATGAAGCGTCTTCAGTGACTTCTTCCTGTCCCTCCATTTGTAAACGCACATGTTCGATGTCAACACTGTCATAAGCCTTGAGAAGCCTTCTGCAAAATCTAGTTTGACGACTATGTAAAAGCTTTCATCGTAGGTCCCAAGAGTTTGTAGCGTTTTCTTTTAATCTCACTTCTAGTGGCGGCGATTTGCGGCAACTTGGTACCACTAGAAGGAAATGATCATGCCCATCGAGATGTACCTGTCAAGCTTGATGAAAACTGCTTTAAACCTAATGCCGGAGGAAAGCGCAAAACCTAGGGGCCGCGGCTCAGTAAGACACAAGACGCACCAGGGACAAGGCTGATAACGGCTTGACTTCACAGCGCCACTTTCGCATGCGCCAAACTTATACTAGTTTTCCGTCTTCGTTTGACAGCCGAACGAAAAACCCGACGTCAGGGTGGTAAGAATCTTGAATCAAACCGAAGATTAAGTTGTTGCCTCTTAGGCCCCGGACAGACTTCACGCGATTTGAGCGTCGCGAACGCCGACATTTCCATTCATTTTCATTTTACATTTAAAAATTTCGGGCTGGAAAAGTATCACAACCGAAATGCAAGTTGATCGGCATGGAATGATGTTGTAACAGTTGTCTCGTTGCGATTCAGTCGCGTGAAGTCTGTCCGGGGCCTTACGGGGTTGCTCAGTTACGCAATAAACAACTCAATACCATTTAATTTGATTGACTTGGCGGCTGGAAGGCGGGTCTTCGTGACCTAATTAAGGCTAGACAATGATCAGTTAGCACGCCCGCGAGGAAGACGCAGACTAGCGCGGGCGCGAGCGGCCTCAAAGGCAGTGGATCGGCAGAATGAGACCCATGGCAAAACAAGGTGACAGGGCAGGAGCCCCCATAATGGAACCTATGGGCCAAAGTTCGATCTTTCTCTGCCACTTCCAACCCCCGAAATTTCAAAGCGAAAGCAGCGCTCATCTCCTCTCCTCTCCGATCCCGCCCACCCCACGGACGAGTGAACACGAAGCCCGCCACGGCGAAGACGCAGAGTCGTTGGACCCTTATGCTTATAGCATTGCGGCTGCGCGCTCTGACCATGGAGGTCAGTCGTCCATGGGGTGGGCGGGGTCGGAGAGGAGAGGAGATGATCGCTGCTTTCGCGTTGAAATTTCGGGGTTAGAAGTGGCAGAGAAAGATCGGACTTTGGCCGATAGGTTCTTTATGGAAGCTCCTACCCTGTGACCTTATCTTGCCACGGGACTCATTCTGCCGATCCACTGCCTTTGGTTAGATCACAAAGCCGCGCCTTCCAGCCGCCAAGCCAGCTGAATAAAAGGTTGTTCCTCAAACAAAGCTTGAAGAAAGGTATGAAAAATAATGGCTTCCAACATCTCTAGAAAGTGTTAATTACAGAACATCTACGCTTACTAAATAAAAGTGAGCTTTTGAATTACCTCTTAAACACCCGAGAAATTATCTCTCAAAACTCGGAGGTACTGTTTTTGTATTATTAGCTAAAGATGGGTTATGACACAATTATGAAAAATCGATGCTTGGATTTTGCTTGAAAAACCGCAAATTCAAGACCGCAATTGACTTGGATTCATTCCATTACTAAGCTCAAAGGTTGTTGCAACTGACGAAAAAGAAAGTGGCGATTCGCAAAATAAATTCTAATGAATCAAGAGTAAGGAAGGTCGGCAGAAACTATAACGAATTGGATACCATGCACTGGCAGATGTTTTGATGACGGCGTGCCCAGAAGGCGATGGAAAGACGACATTCAAGCCCACTGTTTTACCTTCAAAGCCGCTCCTTACAGGCGAAAGGATCAAAGAACGCTTGTCAATGGAAAAGACTTGGTTACTCATATGCAGTCCCATTACTGAGTAACTGAAGCCATAAACAGAGTCATCACGGTGCTTCTATATATGTGAACCGTTAAGAATGAATTAATAAATCAAAAAAATAGCTAAAGATGGAACATCCAGTACAAGATATGTTTTCCGTTAGGTGTTAGGATAACTAATTTTCATTTCAGTAAGGCCCCGGGCAGACTTCACGCGATTTGATCGTCGCGACTGAATCGCGAAGAGACAACTGTTACAACATCATTCCATGCCGATCAACTTGCATTTCGGTTGTGATACTTTTCCAGCCCGAAATTTTTGAATGTGAAATGAAAATGAATGGAAATGTTGGCGATTGAGTTGCGACGATCAAATCGCGTGAAGTCTGCCCGGGGCCTAAGACGTACGACTTCAAACTCTTGGTTGCACAGTGATCGCACTCTTCGTTTTGCCAAATTTTTCATGACATTCTGAGTCTAACGTTCGCTGCCGCCATGTTTGTCAAATATTTGAGAAAAAATCGACATTCTTGAAAGATCAAGTGGAAGAAATGCGGCTCGGACGCAGAGCATTTCCTTGCTTTTACGCAGAAAATGTTGTATATCGTTGTGCACTTTGGTGCACGCAAAACTGCAGAATAGTTTGTAGGAACTTGTTTGTGATGCTCTCAAGTCAAATATACTCTACAAACGTTATGCTGGCATTCTAGCTCTTGTGAAGATATATATATATATATATATATATATATATATATATACAGGGTGTCCCAAAAAATGTGCACACTGTTTGATTGTAAATAACTCTCTTGTAGTGAAGTGTTTTGAGAAGCTTTGGGTACCATTTTGTAGAGCGAGGTTCAACTTAGATTTACAGTGTAGAGCGCATCGCCGATCTCTCATTCTTACTGTAGGATTACCGTAGAAACTTTGAAGAGGGTTTTGAGCCATGAAAGGCCATATTTTGTTCCAAAAAAAAACCAAAACAATCTAAAAACTCTCACACTGGGCTAACTAGAGTTGCTGATTCTAATTGTAAAGTTCGCAACTCTTCGTAATGCTTCATTAAAAAATTATGCGAGGTAAGCAGTAGTAGACGTCTTTTAATTGTTCCTAAAAACTGCGGTTACACCGTTTAGAAAGCTCCTCAACCTTATAAAGAGTTGAGTATTGAACTTAGGGTCCATGAAAAACCTATTACACAAATTTCCACCTTTTTCGAAAATTTTTGAAACGGCCGCTTTTTTCACAGTGACACCATATGTGAAGTTTCTACCGTACTCCTACAGTAAGAATAAGCGATCGGCGATTCGCTCTACATTGTAAATCTAAGTTGACTCGTTCTACAAAATGGTACCTAGAGCTTCTCGAAAGGCTTCACTACAAGAGAGTTATTTATAATCAAACAGTGTGCACATTTTTTGGGACACCCTGTATATATATTAGGTGGGTGCAAAAGTTCTGTCGTTTCATTTTCAAAAATTTGTAACTTCGCCAGATTTCAACGGATTTGCTTGCCTGTAATTTCATTAGAAAGAACAGGTCTTCCGCTTTCAAGCGCTTTTTTGTGGAGCTTCTGTTTCACACTGAGTGCCGAGATAAAAATGAAAAACTGAGGCCATGCAAACTTTGACCATTTTAAGTTAGGTCATCAAAAATCGGGAACGCTGCAGAAAAATCTGAAATCTTCCGTACATATGTTTTTTGGCCTACACTTTGCATCTGTGAAAAATTTGTGCTGTTTGAACGTCTCCGTGAGACGTTATGAAAATCGAGTTTACCATGGAAAACGCCAAAATCAATTAATTTGTGAATTTTCGCGAAAATCATAACTTCTCAAAGAGACGTTCAAACAGCACAAATTTTTCACAGATGCAAAGAGTAGGCCAAAAAACATATGTACTGACGATTTTAGATTTTTCTGCAGCATTCCAGATTTTTAGTGACCTAACTTAAAATGGTCAAAGTTTACATGGTCTTAGTTTTTTATTTTTATCTCGGCACTCAGTGTGAAACAGAAGCTCCACAAAAAAGCGCTTGAAAGCGGAAGACCAATTCTTTCTAATAAAATTACAGGCAGTCAAATCCGTTGAAATCTGGCGAAGTTACAAATTTTTGAAAATGAAACGACAGAACTTTTGCACCCACCTAATATATATATATATATTAGGTCGGTGCAAAAGTTTTGTCAGTTTCTTCAATCCATCGGTAAACACGTTAGAAAGAAGATAAACTAAGATTTGAAAATGTATCCGATGCAGAATTTCTTCCTCTTTCCAACTATCAAACTGCCATCGTGTTTCGTTGAGGGAGTGATAAGATATTCGTTTAAAATTACAGTCATTCGTTTTTACCATGTCCAACTTTCACTAATTTCCAAAATTTTTGTATGAGACTTTCGGAGGGGACCTAATAGCTACCAGATAAGGCAAACCTTTTGCCAACTTATGCAATTTTTTTCTTTTTTTCACCTGCTTTTCCAGATTTTTCCTAAATAATTTTCTAAAAGTCTTGTATTTTGGAAAAATCGCATAACCTGTTATTGCACCAAACACCGCAAAACCTACAGAATACTGAGGTTTCAACACTTGATTATTACTGCCGCTATTATTACAAAGTAAATGAGCGACTTTCGCTTCGAATTATGAGGATTTTGAAACATGAGTTACGTCAGTGCGCACTCCTAAAATTGAGAAATACTGCGATTTTCCCTACAAATTTCGCCTGTTTCGGCAAAAAAAAGACAAGCGTTAGAAAGAGGAGAAAAAGCTGCATCGAATGGTGACTGGAATGTTTGACATTTTATGTTCTATTAGGTTAAAATAGGCTTAATGTAAAACTTGGTCACTTCAAAAAATAAATCATAGAAATTTTGAAAGACAAGCCGTGGGGCTACAAAAAATTGCTTTTGTTGGCAAAAGGTTTGCCCTATCTGCTGGTTAATAGGGCTTCTCCGAAAGTCTCATAGATAAATTTTGAAAATTAGCGAAAATTGGACATGGTAAAAACGAGTGGTTCTGATTTCCAGCAAATAATCCAAAAAGGTATAATCTTTAGAAATCAAAAATTCATTTGGATAATTATTCCAGAATTTTTGCGCCACGGAAGAAGTGAAGGGATTAACCAACCTCAGCTCCAGATATCTCGCAATGCTATTTTTCTCAGCAGATAGTTTTAACTTCTCCAAATCCCTAAAATGAGTAGCTTGCGGTATATATTCGATTCCCAACAGAAAACCGTCTACCTTCTGTATGAGATGATACAATAAGCGATCCATGCTACAGAAGCGAATATGTAGAATATGAAGACTATCCAAAATGTGGTGGCAACGTCATGAAGGATTTCGTCATTGGTCTGAAACTACTTGAAGCGTAGTCTTAAGTATGATGAAGGCAATGTAATGGTATTTTTAGGCTGAAGTGGCCACACTATAACCCAACAAATTTCAAGTAACGAGAGAGGTTCTCCTCAGAGAAGTTCTTATGTAACAACTGCTGAGTAACTTTGACAAAGTGAGAAAGAGATTTAAAAAGGAATACCTTGATGTGCTCCGTCGAGTCCGTAGGAATCTCTGTGGATGTCGAGGGGATGTCCATAAGCTGAAAAAGTACAGATTTAACAGCATTGAGTTGTGGTCAATAGAGGCAACTTACAGAAGCGTAAGGATTGGAATGAGTAATGCTATATCTACAATCACGTAGGCTCAAGGAGTTCACATTCGCTATCTACAGATAATTTGTGCTCGGTGGGTAGAACTGATAGACAAGTTATGGTGGATATGAGATCATCTGAAAACTAAGCACTAGGAAAGGCAACTACTAGGGCAGTTCTGAAGCTGTCTACGCGCTTTTAGAGTGGGGTCTTGAGAGTCCTTTCTCATTTAGGTTGTAACGAAAGTTCCCGGGCACTTGCGAAATCTTCTTGCAAACTGCTGTAACTTTAAGCAGGTTGATCTTTTCGAAAGCTGCAAACTTTGCTGCAAAGGGATTGTTGTTCACAAGGTATGCTCATTTTGTTGGGTCCTCAGCATTTCGGGCCACCAGCTTGCGCAGTAGGGAAAAAGGTCGACTTGAATTTTGGCCTGTTGGTGCAGGAATTTCCCCGGCACGAAGAGAGCTGCAGAGCTCATATCCGGTGGTTATGTAGAACTCTCTTGGGGCTGTTTATGGACTGTGTTACAATTTTAGAGCACTGCTTTTTAAGAAAATTTCACGAAAAAATTGAAATACCGGCCATTTTTTGCACCCTAAAAATGCCCCATGTTTTGAGTAAATGATTTTGAAGTCTTCCTTTTTCCATGGAATGAATCAAATCTTCGATTGCTGCAAATATTATTGTGATAATGTCTTACACATCTTTCGGGCCCATTATCGAAACATGACAATCTTTACAAGATCGATGCCGACTGGGAAATCAGGTGCGGTCAACGGCCAGTTTAAGAGCTTGTTATTTTTGTGCGCTTATTGTAGAATCAGAGCACACCTGCGCTTTTGAGGTGGACCGCCTGCTTATTCACCTCTGTTTATTATGAAAAAATGGCAGCAAAAAGAAAAATTTCGAAATTTTCGTCGTGGCACAGACTTCCTTTTTTGGTGTATAGATCAAATACTGCTTGATATGCATAAAATCTGGATACGAGTCTGGAGAGCCTAGGCTTTCTCCTACCAAGCCATATAAAAAATTTGTTGTTAAGATCCTACCGAGTGTGAAAAAATGAGTCTGAAAATGAAATTGCAAAAACTTCCCGAGACTTTCGTTACAACCTAATACAGTCTCTGATAATTCAGCATGGCCGTTACCATGTAGTATCCATGGCTTTGGCCAAGTGAATTCACAAAATCCTTCATGGATTCAACAATTTTGAAAGGGTGAAAAGTACTGCCACAAATTATTGCAGCTGTAGTTTTTCTCGGAAGAAAAAATGAAAATACTGCGCGCTGTGGTAAAAGCGTCGCTGTCGACATATAATGACTTCATATATGCGAATTAAAACTAGCCGACAAGATTATTTGATTCAGTAATGCCAACTTGCTCTTTTTCTGGTGTTTTATGTCAGTTTAGGAAATATAGGACCTATATGGATACAAATATAATCACCCCAAAAAACTGGCGAAGCAGAAAGTCTATAGCTGACTCAAGAAATTGTTTTTTTTTTCGTAGGAAAATACTTGAACAGATAAAATGTGATCTCCAGCAATTTGATTCCAGATTCATGAGAAAGGCAGTAAAAATCAGAATAAAGAAAACACTTGTGAGTTTAGCAAATATGACAACTACTATACGAAACTCCATAAACATGTGCTACAACCTTGACTGGAACTAGTCCGTCGTTTTTTATGCACAGGAAACTAACTGGCCGTGTCTAGAACCATTCACGTTCCATAAATCAAGGAAGTAATAAGCAATGTGATTAATGGGGCAGACCAGAACGTCTCAGAGCCTGGTTGCTTTATTCAATCACTTTATGAGGGGAACAACGGGAGCACACTTTCTGTCTGACAATCACCCAGTTTTTTTATTGTTGGGACTAACTTTTACGATTTTGAAGATATGCAAAGCTTTGCAAAAAAACATATAGAATGTGCAGATAAAGAGAGAAAAGAGTGATGAGGCCGTAAAAAGTATGCTCTGAATTTTTTCCTGAAAGATTTTCACTCCCAAGTCAGGAAAAAAATCAGCTTAAACTTAGGCAGCAAAATTAGATAAATGTACACTAAAAAAGCATTTGCTGCGATAAACACTACTAAAATTCAAAAAGCTGTGTTGAATTCACTAAATCATACAATTTATGGCATCAAGGCTGTTGCAGAAAATTGCTTAGGGAGAAAGAAGAAGTAATTTTTTTCGGACGCTGCGCGACATAGATTACAAAATTTTATGATGAGGTCTTCAATCTCATCTGGTGTGTTTATGCAACAGCAAACGTAAGTTATTCAGCAACTTGAATTAAAAATTTCGAAAAATTATCCCAGTTATTGACAGTCAGGAATAGGTTGTTTGCACGTCATACTCAAACCAGTTCTAAAAGTACCTCTCTTTCCTATTTCTCATTTGGTCTGAGGGCAAAAATCGGTAGAGAGGACAGGTTAAAACCCTAGCAACAAAATCCATTAACAGTTTAACCGGTTGTTCAAATAATTATGATTTTTTGCAGACCTGCAGAGATGTGGAGTTTGGTAAGGAGACTGAGTATACTTTCTTGATAACAGGTCAGTCTGTTCGCTTGGATACTGTAGGGCAACCTAAGATCGCACTTAGAAAAATTCCTTCACAAGAATAGTATTTTCAAATTTCCAAAAAGTTTTTTGCTTATTCAAGAACAGGATACTTTCATAGTTTTGTTGATTCCTGTAGGCTACAATAAGCAGAATTTCGTGAACCATTCTCGAGCGGATCTCCCACCCCAGGGCCAATGTATGCTATAGTACAAAAACTTCAAAAAATTAAGAAATCAAGCTGATTAAAAACCATTTTAAAATATGCAAAATTATAAAAGAAAAATTATTGAAAATTCAAAAAGGTGCAACATAAACAAGAACTTTTGATCTTTTGAATACTATAAGCTTACTATAAGCCCATCAAGCCATTTAAAGATTGGAAGAAAACCTATTTTTTCAATTTTTTGGACTTTATGGGAAGACTAGTCAGTGGTTTTCTTGTACTGCGTCAGATATGTTGCTCTAAAATTTGTAAAGTTTTAGCCCATTAAAATCCATACGAGTCGCAACATTGGAAAAAACACTCATCAAAGCACATTCCTTAATCGCAGAATGTAAAACAAATTTTTACGAGATTTATTCAAAGACCAGTCAAAAGAACGCTTGAAAATTGCTATCTAAGTGGAACATCATGAGACGATAAACGTCGCTGGATGACATCAACGATGATGTCGCATAGTTTGGCATATGCACTCGCGTTGGAGCGCGCACGACTAGAACAAACAAAGGTGTTAGATGGCCGAAGACAAACAGTAGCGTGAAGTCCAATACGCTTTTTTGCCGACAGCGAAGTGATTACGCAATATCAGATTGACTTAAAAATGGTCTTTATCAGTTATAACATAAGTCTTGCACCGAAATTTTCGAAGATGTCTAGGGTTCTCCAGGTAAGAAAAGCCTTTCTGAAGTAAAATATGATCGAAAGACGAAATCATACGGTTACTGAAAAACTGAAGAAGAATTGGTGTTGGTACAGAATGGTTATAAAAGTAAAAAATGAAGACAAACTATGTACCAAACAATTTTTCTCCGAATGCCAATCAGATGCACCAGCAGAAATTGTAATCTTCAAATTCTTCTTTCGTGTTTGACTTTTTTGAATCAAAATTCAATGCCTAATAAGTACAGTACTATGTATTCTATATATAACAAAATATTATGAAGACTGGAACGGTTAATTAAGCATCAAAATATTTTCTGGAATTTTCGGTGAAAGATTTATGTATGTCACAACCTAATCTATGACAAAATTACATGAAACTTTATTTTTTTGCAGTCCAAATTCAAGAATTTGCTGCATTCGCTTAGGCTTTGTTAGGGTGTTAATATTCTCAGGCTTAGCTGTTGGAAGAACAGAAATGCGAAACCACTAGTGAATGTTCACGTAGAAGCATTATCCCTCCTGATACTTACAAGTCAAATCTCTCTGAACTCAAACGTCATAGAAATTCCTTTGAAAAGGAGCTTCATAATTCCCATAACTTCTTTGAGCTCAGAACAATTAACAGACCGTCAACGACAAATATTAATATTACTCTTAGCCAACCTACTATACAGCTTCTGAATGGATTTGATGACTACAGGGGAAGAAGGAAAGGGCGGAAGAGAGCGAGGACAATAGTAGTACATTGTAGTCAATAGTGCAAAAGCGAAAACAATTTTGGCTGTACCCCCAACGTATTCATAGATCTCTGCCATGCGCTCAAAAAATTGTGCAAAACGGTACGTATGCAAAAAAAAAGAAACTTGCCTGCCATATAGTAATCTGGAAAGTGATTACAAGTACAATGAACAGCTAATCTACTAAGTTTTTTTTATCAAAGCTGATCAAACAGGATGGACAACAGAACAGCGTGGTGCCGTAGTTGGAGTTTTTGAAGGGTCGAAATAAATCATAAAGTGATTTCAGAAGTTTCAGGTCGACTTGGAACTCAGAGCAGTACATTGTATGAAAAAATGGGATGGTTCAGAAATAGTATGTCACAATCACCCACAGTTTTTTTTGTTGATTTACACATAATAGATGGAGTAAAACATGCGTGAATATCATTTTTTCCATTGAGGTGCAATCATTCTTCGTCCAGTTCATGAAAGTTACAATATATCAATAAGTGGCAGTCATTAGATTTCTCGATATATAATACTTTGGTGGAGTATTGAAAAAAATTGAATTCTCGTCCTTTACGAAGCTACACATCAGTTGGAATAAAATAGTGAGAAAAGATCCACAGAAATTCGATTCAACTTCAATTCTAATAGTAATTGTAATGGCAGTGTTTTGCACAATTTTTTGGAAATTAATTGGAACCAGGAAAAAATTATGTTAAAAGTTAGTGTTGGCAACATCTCTGTCTCTACTACGTCACTTGAATCTTTGCTGAT